TTTTGTTCTGATTTTATCTGCCCTTAAAACTTACAGACATACCACATGTTCATGCTAACTTGTATCTATGTTAAAACAACACTGAAAATGTTATTCACTATCGGATTCAGATAGGTATGTTTTAATTAGTATCTCTTTAATTGCCAGCCATGACTTAAAAAATAATCAACACCTTTAAGATGGCAGAAGCCACAAAGTAACAATACTGTGTTTTTATAATTCCTTTTAAAAAATAATAAAAGTAAGACTTTCGTGCTCAGTTTGATTCTTTAATAATGTAATAATAATTGGTACTCAGGAAAAAATAAGCTCTACATGTTCAGCATCATTAAAGATTAAATTTTGTTTATATTCTATGGTTGTATTAGAAAATGGACATTTTGATACATTATACTTCACAAATTGGCTTTCTATACATGTGTTAACTCTTCTCCGAATACTTTATTAATCGGGACATTGACAAATACAAAATTCTTTTACTGTTTCAAGCATCAGGCTATAATTTCAGCTCTTATCTTTTTCTGTGTGTATGACGACAAAAGTCACAGATCTGGGAGTCAACAGACTGAAGCCCATCACTTACTGGCTCTGTGAGCCTGGTGAAGTCATTTGTTTGACCTCTAGACTCAGCTAGTACATCTATAAAATGAAGAGGATATTACCCATCTCAAGGGATTTGTTTAAGAATCAAATGAGATAATCAAAGTTAACTGTTTAACACTATGCCCTGATACACGTCCTAAACACACAATAAATATCAGTATCAGGTTCACTCATTATCTCTTTCTTAAATGAAAATAGAGTATCTACCTCCCTTACCTTGCCTAAGATTTTTAAATTAGCTTAATTTATAAGCATGCATAATAACAATGGAACTTTCAAAAGTATCATATTATGAACATTTTTCTTTTTCACTTCAGAGTGAGATTTGCATTCACCTTTTACCATTCCACCTCATGGCCCGGAAGAGTTGATACCTCATTATCAATAATAATCCAGGTTTATTTACTCCCCAAGGGAGGGCCAATTTTTGCTTCCGGTTTAGAGCTATCTGCTGGCATTAACAATTTCTAACTTTTAATTATCCTTTTTTCCCACTTGAAAGCCTAAACAGGATTGAATAGGAAAAAAACAAAACCTCCTTTTCCCTTATCCAAGCTGTGAATTTAAAATACCTGTGTTTTGTCTGCACCTCTGTCACTTTTAACCATAGCTTCTAGAAAAATTTTGACAATTTCTGAACCATTTTACCCTAGACTCCACATGTTTCTCGAGTGTCTTTGGTTAAGGTAGATCGCTGTCTTCTAATGCCATGCTGATTCTTCTGAGGCTTCCTGTGGCCCATGTTAAAAACAGCTTCTGCCTGGTCTTTGGAAAAGTGGACAGCCAGGGAGCCAAACTCCTCATGAAATAGTCCAATCTGATTCCCTCGAAGTGGTGACTTCTGCAGAGAGAGAAGTGTCCTTATTATATAATCCAGTGCTTAAATGATCTGTTTGTCATATCCTACTTCTGCCCAAGTATCATCTTTCTCCAAATTGAGGCTCATAATAAGAACATTTTCTTTTTAATTTCTATCCTAAATCCTTCATAAAAAGTCAATCCACAGACAGGTGCAAGAGCCACATGGTCTCTTTGGGAGCCAGGGCACAGTCGTCAATTAGGTCTAAAATGATGGCCACGTGATGTCTGAGGCTTCCTTTTGCAAATCCCAAGATGAAAGAACATGGATTGTGGTATCTGCAGGGACCAGATTCCTGGGAGTCCCTTATCCCTTAGCTCTGGATCCAAAGCAGGAACCATGTCTTCCCGGCTGCAATCAACTGGCATAGCTGCCCTCTGGTCTGTGTTCAGCACGATTCCAGGAAATTCGGGCAGACGCTGAAGGAGGCAAGAAGCACACGACTGAAAGTGCGGTGTGTTTAACGTAATGTGGAACCTCACCACCCACAAGCAGTCTGCTCCAGGAAATGCCATTTCCTCTTCCAGGAAACAAAGGTGTGGAGCACTTCTGAGCAGCAGCCGTGTTTGTAAAATAGAGATAATGTCTGATATAAAATGCTTTGTAAGCTGGGAAAGGAGAAGGCTGGCTAGATAGGATGCTGGAGTCCAAAAGGTCCAGAGGTATCCTAACGCCTAGCATGTATCAAGAATAGATTTGGAATATTTTCTTTCAGATGAAATTTTAAAAAAAACACTTTAGACACATGATGAATATTGTTTTAAAAAAATCTAGTCTTCCAATTAATGAGTTTGCAATTGCAGGACTACATAGTTACAAAATAACTATGTAGTTCTGCAAATAAATAAATAAATATAAAAATAAAATAGTAGAGTAGCACTGGTCCCCAAGACCAGCTATCCTGAGAGAGAAGCAGAAAACAGAGGACATGGCTGTGGAATGGAAGCAGTATTCAACAGGGCTTGAGGGCTATTTCACACTGGCCTGAGATGAATGCCGGTTCTGGTACTTCATCAACTGTGGCATCTTGAGCAGCCTGCATGATCCTTCTAAGCCTGGCTAGTCTCATCTCTAAAATAGAGGAGATGAGGATGATAATAGAATAACTAACTCATAAGATTGTTATGAGGATTAAGAAAACAGTGCATCCAAAGTGCTCATGAGATGACTGGCATATAGGTACTCAGCACATAATCATCATTATTTGAAATTTCTTTTTAAAGCCACTAACTAGTATTGATGAAATTAAAGGGCATGTGAATTTCCCTTGAGCCCCAATACCTACTTAGCCTCCTTCTCAAAAGTCAATGAAAACCCAGCAATGGGGAATGAATGGGTTTACTATCTCCTAGGCACTGTAGCCATTGGCAGTCTGCCAGCTCTTCTCGATGTGATAGGCTGTGTAAGGATGGCTGGAGAAGAGCCAGGAGGAAGGCATTTTGAACTAGGAGGTTTCTCTTTGACAGTCTGCAGAGAGGAGCTGATGGGGTAGGAGGATGGTCATTAATCCAGCTCTAAAGGCTTGTTCCCAGCCATAAACACATTTTTCCTCCAAATTTTAGCAGCAAATATGCAGTGAACGCCTACTACATGCCAGAGAAATATCCAATGAACGCCTGCTACATGATGGCAGGGTGAGCCAGCACTTCTCAAGTCCCATCCACCCTCAACCCTCCTGGCTAGACTCTTCTAAGAGGTGGCAGCATCTCTGTTGGATGATCCTAGCCTAAGGGTCAGTTCAATGCTGTTGGATATTAGCAATAGGGGAAAGGGACTCATTTTAACGGACTATATTTTACCCTTATAAGGTGTGTGCATTTGCGTTGCTGAGTTCACATAGATTAAGAGAAAGAATCACCATATCTGGCCTCCCAGCACAAGCAGCAATGTGAATTAATCAAGTCACCAAACCCTGCTGGGCCTTGGTGTTTTTGAGGGGAGAGGGGTGTAAGAGATCAACCAGAGATCTTGTATGCATGCATATAAGCATAACCCATGGACACAGACAATAGGAGGTTGAGGGCATGTGCTGGGGGTGGGAGAGGCCAGGGAGAGGTCAATGGGGGGAAAAGGAGACTCATTTTTTAAATGTTTTTAAAAATAATAAATAAAATTTTGGAACTAGCAGGAATCTGAGGTCCTTTTCAGCTGACACTCTAACCTTCTATGACCAGAAATCTGCTGATCCAAGGCTTGGCTTTTTTTTCTTTTTCCTACCTTTTTAATCTCTCTCTCTCTCTCTCTCTCTCTCTCTCTCTCTCTCTCTCTGCTGGGCCTTGGTGTTTTTGAGGGGAGAGGGGTGTAAGAGATCAACCAGAGATCTTGTATGCATGCATATAAGCATAACCCATGGACACAGACAATAGGAGGTTGAGGGCATGTGCTGGGGGTGGGAGAGGCCAGGGAGAGGTCAATGGGGGGAAAAGGAGACTCATGTAATACTTTCAACAATAAAGAATTTAAAAGAAAAAAAGAAAGAAATAAATAAAAAGTTTGACTTCTGGCTGGTGTGGCTCAGTTGGTTAGAGCACCCTTCCATACAGCAAAAGGTCACCACTCAATTCCTGGTCAGGGCACAAACCAAGGTTTCCGTCTTTGCACATTTGAGAGGCAGGCAACCAATCAATTTGTTTCTCTCCCTCTTTCTTTCTCCCTCTCCCTCTCCCTCTCCCTATCTCCCCCCCCTCTCTCTCATATTTTTTAAAGTATTTCTGTTTTATTGCTCACTGGTCCTAGTTTGTTAAAGCAGCAACAGCCTTAGCCAAGCACATTTTAATCATTTAGTGTCATGACTAAGAGGGAATAGCTCTGTAGTAGTAATATAGTATTGGTAACCAGACATGTAATTTCTGACATGAATTTTTAAAAAAAGAATTCTATTAAGTATAAGGGGACACACCCTATTATCCTCAGTATGATCATTCATGTCAGCGAAGCACAAAAGTCTTAAAATGACACAGGCACTGTCACGACATTCCATTACAACTTCAATGGCTCAGTTTAGAGAGGGCAACTTTGGACATTATAAATAAAACAACAGTGTGCAGATAGAAAATCAAAATGCCAGGTCAGACACCACCTGGGAAAGACTATCCAAGGCACCGAATTGTACCCAAACCTTCCCAGACAGGTGATTATAAAACAAAGATATTCAACATCCTTTCCAGTGTAAAAACATAAAATAGGTGAAGTTCTTTTTCCAGGGTGACCTTGATCCTTCCCACTGAAGGATTGTTCTCGCTTTTCAGTTTGTCTAGCTATAGAATCATGTGGTCTCAGTCCCCCCTCTCCTTTCCTCGCATCAGCCAGTGTGGGGCCCGAGCTCAGCGCCCCATCCTCCCGGAACAGCGCACCCGAAACGTGTCCCATCCCCTTCTGGTCGCCACAGCGGGGAGGGAAGAACCTGTAAGGAGCGAGGCTGGAGGGCGGGGCAGGCACAGCAGAAGGAGAGGAGGCACTGGCAGCTGGGCGCTGGGCTGGTTCCTGGGCGGGCGGGCGTCCAGGACCGGCTTCTGCAAAAAGGGTGGCGGGCCCCCCCGCCCGCACCGCCTGCGGGCGCACCCACTGCGCCGGCACCGCCAGTGCCCGCGCCACCGCCGGACAGCTGCGCTCGGACCCGGCAGCTCACCCAGCAGGTAGGTCCCTGCGTGGCCGCTCGTCGCTGGCCAGGGGAGGGAAGGGGGTCTGTCTGCGTGGGGCCAGGACCCCGGTCCAGTGGAAGCGGCTCACCCAGCTCCGTGGTGACTTGTTCCAGGAAGGGGGGTTCAGAATGATAGAGAAATCGAAGAGACAGGAGCGCAGCGAACTTTGGGTCACTGGTTTCTTGGGGGGGTTTCTTGCGTGAGGGTTGCAAGGGATGGTGAGGACCTTGGCCGCAAGGAGGCCACCGGGCTAGCTGCACTTCCTCCTTCCTTCTCGTTTTTTTAACTCTCACCTGAACTAATGAAGGGCGGAGGGAGGCAGGGAAGAAGGTGGAAAGTTTTATGTTCTTGGCAAACATTTGTAAGGAGAGAGGTTTGATGCAGATGGCAACCTGTCAGACAGCAACTTGTTTTTTTGAAATCCATTGCTTAGAACAGCAGGAAGGGCTGCCAACACTCGCGCTTCTAAACAAACCAAGTTTCTTTTCGCCGGCGTGGGGTTAGGGTGAGGTAGGTCTCTGCTAGATGCAAAAAGAAACAAAAAAAAAACACTTCTGGTGCTCAATTCGGTAACCTTGAGGGATCCTTGTTTGTTTTTAAGCTTTAAGGGTCATACGTATAGAGAGTGAAATGTCTTTATTTCACTGGATTTTCAAGAGCCCCAATTATCCATGTGAAATGGACTTGTTCATGCTAAAGGCGCAGGCACTACCGTGGGCATGAAGAGAGAGAGCGCCAAAGGCTGGCTCCACTGGGTTGTGTCTGCAAAGTGAGTGTCACGGAGCTGCCTTGTCCTTGAGGGTTGTCCTGCTCAAAGTTGCTAATGAAAGATGATTCAGTAATGGCAAGGGCTGACAAGGAGGGGTGGTGGCCTGGAGAGGAGAATGAGCACTCACTGCTTCTCCTGGTCAGTGGTGAGAGACTGTTCCTGGGGCGCGTGCAGGTCCTGCGGGGGCCTGGCCGGCGCCCTTTCTGAACACAAGTTGGGCGGCCCCAGGGCTTGCTGCCCCCTTTGCATTGTTTTCTGGAGCTGTGACCACCCCAGGCCCTTCCTCGGCTGGGATGCTTCACAGACAAGCCCTATTTGTAAGGCCCTGGGTGCCCCACTCCCAGCATACACCCCACCCTTCTGAATCACCATCTTCATGTCTTTCCCCCTAACTTATCTTAGGCAACTCATAAAATGGCAGGTTTGCCCACAGATGCCTGATCTCTTTTTAAAAATGCTGTGTCTAGTGGGAAGGAGGGTGACATTTGCTAATTTGGTTGCAATTACTTTTGAAGTTTATGCACAGCTGTTTAAAATCCTCTGCGATTAGTGCCATTGTTTGAGGCAGGTGTCCGCCTCCGAATGCTCTTGTTGTCTCTTTCTTCTGCTGATTGTACGTACATATATTCATTTATTGTTTTGGGGTTTTGTTTTGTTTTAAGCCAAAAAAATAAAAATGAAAGTACATACATTTAAAGATACAGCATTGGAAGAGCTTTTAAAACCTTCAAAGCATCATTTGTAAAACTCCCAACTTATAAATGAAGTGTAATTTAAGTGTTTGTGGTTTGGTTTTGGTTTGGGGAATTTTTTTTTTGAGAGGAACATATTTTTTTAAAAATCTTTATTGTTGAAAGTATTGCATATGTCCTCCTTTTCCCCCCACGGACTCCTCTAGCTCCCCTCTAGCTCCCCGCCCCAGGCCTTCACCACCCTATTGTCTGTGTCCATGCATATATTCATACACATTCTTTGGTTTATCTCTTCTGACCCACCCACCCCCCGCCTGGGCTCATCAACTCTTATTTCTGATGTCAAGAGTAACCTGTTCCGCATCACCAGCCTTTGTTTCAGCCTCCTGTGATTTTCTTGTAAACTTGTAAAATGTAAACTTTCAGGGGAGACGCTTGTCACCACCCTCCGCTTTGTCATGTTCACTTCCGTCACTGTCTTGCACTACTACGGTGGCTCAGGATGGCAAGGAGCTCTTGGGCGACTTCTTTACCTTCTCTCCCACAGCTCCACTCCCGACCCTTTGTTGAGTCTGCTTGGAAAATGCGTGGGTCAACTACTGGAACTTTGATTCCTTTTGCTGATGTCCCTCTTCTCTTTCAGGTATGCAGGGACATTGCTCAATTATTCACAGCTCAGTCGTTCTTATGATCTCACTGATCCCCTTCAACACTAATATTTTATTTCTCTTGCTCATGGCAGGTACTGGAGGCTCCTTGAATACTTCATTTGTCTTTGATCATTTCTATAAAGGTCCCTCGTTCCATTGTAACATATTCTCTCTCTTTGTGGAAATGACAGAATTCTCCTCTATAATGAATTTGGTGTTTCATCTAAAATTCCTTGGGCATTGGGTCTAGGATTTTGTTTTGAGAGGGTTTACAGTACAAATCTGTGACTGGCACTCAGGAGTAAAGCTCCACAAATCTCCATAACCCGGCTTAATGGTGGGACATTCGCCTTCCTTTAAAATAGGAATTAGAATTAGTACTTCCCTTTTTAATGCTTTTTATGTTTTAGAGTTACTGATTATGTTGTTTGCCCCTGAAATTATTGAAGAGATATTAATCTAATGTGACTTTTAATAAGAGTATATTTGATTTCAGGTGATTTTCTTTTTATACAATTCAATCTTTTCTTTTTTTTTCAAGTAATTAATTTCCACAAATAATGTAAAATAAAAAGTTGTTACATGATGAAATATCCCAGAGAACACACATGTATCATGTGATTCCATATTTATATAATTGTATTGCCCAAGTCAAATCTGTCATTAAAAGTAGAGAAATTAGTGTTGTGGTGGCATGCATAACATTAAACTCTTTTTTCTGTTTCTGTCCATTACTTTGAAATCTTAACCATCTCATTTTCAAGAAGCAATGCATCTAACTTTGCTTTTTCATACCTATTCTGGTTGTTAAGGCAGAAACCATGAAACACCCATAGAAAAAAATAATGCTGAGGCAGAAAGGTGAATTAAAAGGCATTTCTTTGCAGTAATGGAAATATCTTTCATTATTTTAACATGTAAAGCATTTATGCACAAATTTCATGTTGACCTCTCTTCTAAAATTATTCTTTGAGCAAATGAGAATCAGAGGTTTCAGGAATTAGGGATAGCTCAACCCAAGCCCAGAATCGTAGATTTCTGCTCTGGGATTAAACTAGCAGATATTTAAGGGCACTCATTTTGGCAGCATATGCTGTTACAGGTTGATATAGGATAATGCTAACTTTGAATTAAGCTGATAATATTGATGATAATAATAATCAGAGCCAACAAAAACAGTAAAACATAGTTTTATTGAGTCATTATTATTTGTAATTTATGTACCAGATTTTATACTCCCAACTTTATTTATATTTGACAAACATTCCTATCTCATTTAATCTTTGCAAAGCTTTCATAAATTAGATATTATTACCATAATCACCCTCATTTTACAGATGAGGAAACTGAGATCCAGGGTTGTTAAGTCACGTGTCCAGCTTTTATAGCTGGTAAGTGGTAGTGTCAGGTTTATCTGACCGCCAAGCACTTGCCATAAACCACAGAGCTGAACAACCCACCAATTAATTTTTTAATGGTGGTAAAATATACATAACATTTAAGTGTACAGTTCATTGGCATTTAATACAGAATGGAACAAATTAGGTTTACAGTTGTTCTAGTGGAAAATAATGCAAGAATTAATAAATAATAATACAAGAATAAACTCTATGTTTTGTGTATTCACAACTGTAAACCTACTTTTGCCCCTCTCTGTATATTCACAATGTTGTCCAACCAGCACTACCATCCATCCAATAGAACTCTTTCAACTTGCAAAACTGAAACTCTATGCCCTTTACATACTAATTTCCAATTCCTCACTTCCCCCTGCTCCTGGAAACCAGCATTCTACTTCCTGTTACTATGAATTGACTACTCTGGAATCTCATATAAGTTGAATCTTACAGTAGTTGTCTTATTTCACCTAGCATAATGTCCTGAAGGTTCCTCAAGGTTCACATTGTAATATGAATCAGAATTTCCTTCCTGTTTAAGACTGTATAATAATCCGTTGTTGGTATAGACCACATTTTGTTTATTCATCTGTTGATGGATACTTGGGTTGCTTCCACATTTTGGCTATTGTGAATAATGCTGCTATGCACATGGGTGTACAAATATCTCTCCAAAGCCTTTTGGCCATATACCCAGAAATGGAATTGCTGGATTAGATGTTTAATTTTTGAGGAACCATCATACTATTTTCCATAGCAGCTTCACCATTTTACATCTCCACCAACAGTGCACAGGGGTTCCAGTTTCTCCACATCCTCACCAACACTTGTTATGTTCTGTTTATATGATAGTGGCCATCCTAATGGGTGTGAGGGGGTAACCAATGAGTTCTTTACCAAATTGTTTGATGTCTGATGTCAGGAGTCTCTGGGCTTATGGTACTCCTGAATTCATTGCTTTTCCTATCTTGCCTTGTGCTTATATGCCTTTCTCTAGTGCAGAATTATTGTAATTACTACTCAAGCATTCCCTGGAGGACTAGGGAAACGATGGCTAGGAGGGCTCCTAAAAGATAAGCAAAAGGTCCCTGTAGGTAGGGTAGCCTACCTAGATTTAGAAGTGATTTTTTGAGGAGAAATAGTACTGATTATACAGAATAGGCATGATTCAACTGGAAGTTGACAAAGATGAAAATGGCCTCTCTTTCCTCTCCCAAAGCTTTTTCCTTGCTCCTAGAAGACAAGCATTGGTGGTGGTGGTACCATGTGAGATGATGTGCTTTCTCTTCTAAAGCTGGGGTCCCTGGGATCAGAACTGAATCCAACTGCCTACTTTTCAGTGTGTATACAGATATTGATGAGTTCTCTGGGGGGAAAAAAGGAACTATGCCAATTCACAATGATATAACTCCGTAATTTCCAACTCCAGCCAGGCTCTCGGACTTTCCCTGGTCAGCCCTCTTTTGCTTTCTAGAGCAGTATATTT